TACTTATATTGTTATACTGCGGTGCGCGGAGAAAATGGTGGTAGTGTTTCGCCGCTGGACTCCGTGCTCGTTATTGACCTGATTATAGTATATTATTATATAGTTCCGATGAACTATAAGCGCTCGTGGGGGGGAGGGTTAAAACGGATATTGAGAGTATTATATAGTATATATATTATTCTATGTGTTTTTATATATGTAATTTTTACGATGTTTTTTTTTTTTTGTATTGTTTTTCAGGCAGAACGTGACAGTTTGATTGACACGCACCACGAGTTAGAGAAACAGCTGGTGACCCGAGACTTGGAACTGCACGAAAAAGAAGAAGAGCTATTTCTACAGCTGGAAAAGGTAATTCGACTAGAAGAGGATTGTGAGAAATTGCGCACTGAAAAAGACAAAATGGTCAAGTGGAAGGATCGTCTGGAACGCGAGAAAAACGAAGCGTACAGGCAGCTACGGTTACAGGCCGAATCATCAGAAATCACTAGGCGCAACTTGGAAAAAGCGCGTTTGGACGCATATAGGCAGTTTTCAGAGATAGCAGCCGAAAAGGATACCCTTGAAAAAGAGGTATAACATCTATATTATTTGCAGAAAACGTTTGAAATTTGTTTATTATATTTTGTTGGTTTTTATTTTAGAATTCGAGACTTAAAGAAGTGTTGGAAGATCTCGGACGAAAAGCCGACTTGTACCACACCAACAGCAGACAGGCCAGTCAAAAGGCCAAGCGCGTGTCTGGTCTGGAACGCGAAGTGAACGAACTGAAATTGATGGCCAAACAGTCAGCCACTCTGAACAGTCAGCTGCAGAAAGGTATGAAACACTTGGCTACATGCAGACGCAAGAAGTGTTCCGTTTGTTCGTATACTAGAGCCACCTTTGGAGAGTACACGTCAAGCAGACACGGGTAAGCCTAAATATCGAAATTAGTAAAGAATAGATAACTGGATTGGTGCATAAATTCTTTTTTTTTCAATCTTAACCTATTAAGTACATAATTTGTTTTATGTTCGATACAAATATCGCCGTTTACATAGTAAACATTTTGAAGATTTTATTAAATGTATATTTGTCATTAAATAATAAATAGATAAATAGTCGATAAATAATTAAACTTTACGTTCACATCAAAAACCTCACTTTTTTTTGTCCATATTTCGCTCTAAATTTTTATTTTTATCAAAACCTGCAGGGAGAAGACTTCGAGATTCATCGGAGGTTGTTTCCCGCTCGACGAGCTTCGTCGTTCCTCCGACCGGATGTCAGCCTCTGACATCGAACTGGAGTGCGCTAAACTCGCCGAACGCTTGTCCGCGTGCTCGTTTCCGCACACGCCACCGTCGACGCCCGAACGGTCGGTTGCTAGCGGATCGCTGTCCCGGTTCGTATCGTACATCGACGACGCGTTCTCTTCAGCCAGCGATGACGAAGACGTCTGTGGTGACATCGGAGGCCGGCCACCAAAATGCACCGGAAGCGGAAGCCGCCGTCAGTTCTCTTCCGATTCTGGAATCTCGTCGTCGTCGGCCACGCCGACCGACCCGAACAAGATAACTTCAGCTTGTGGCAGTCATCGCCCTTCGTCGTCCACGTCATTCAACCGCTCTGCCAAGTGGACTTCTTCATTTAGAAAGCTTATCAGACGCGTATCTTCCAAGAAACACAGCGACGAGTCTCAATAAACATAAAATTTAATACAATGTATACACGTAACCAGAGAGGTTTGGAAAAGTGTTCCGTTAAGTGTTATCTACAAGTATCATCACGTGTATTGTTAATTTTTTTTTTTTAATTTTAGTTTGTTTTTATTATTATTATTAGAAAGTTATTACTGTCGATATACTTTACTAATGTATCAAAAATCTCTTTTATTATTACTTGGGGGGAGGGGGTTGATATAGAAAGACGTGCCTGTACTCACGAAACTATTTATACGAAATTTTATCGACGTCGTCGTTCACTCAAGGATTGTTTGCGCTGCTTACACATAGTCTGTCTTCATAATTATATAACTTAATGTGGGTAGACTAGCTTATAGGTACGTAGGGTAGGTTCTAAAGTGTTGATTTTTCGTGTGATGTATCTACGTTACAATATATTAACATCATACTTATCGCTCGCTATTTTTATTGTTTTTATTACGATTTTTAATTTTATTTTTAACTTACAATAATTGCAGTATTAATATATTTACTTTATCATATCGTTATTATTCAAGAAAACTCATCATTCCTATTTAACGATATTATGTTATTCCTATGTATCTTTTAATAGTAAATATAATGAATTCTTCAATTTTTTTTATTTATAAATTCTACGCTTACTCGTTATTTAACAATATTATATTATGGAAGTGTTGCATTTATATTATATTACTATAATCTATTAAGACAATGTTTGTATACTGACGGGGATCAGGAGTATAACGAATGTTTATTAAAAAAGACATTAAAATAAATATTAGTTTTTTGATGGCCCTGTATACACACGATGTAAGTGGTTAATTTAATAATTAATATATTTTACTATAGATTGTTTTGTTTTTTTTTTTTAGACCAATAACGTTATTTGCCTTAGGCTTTACTTTTAAAAAATAAAAAATTTTACTGTTTTCGAAAAAATATATCTACTAAATATTATTGTAATTTAATAATGTTTAGTTTTTCTTTTTTATCGTGTAAAACAAAAACAAAAAAATTGCTAATGTGTTGTATACTTTATTTGTTCGTTGTATAATTTAATTTAATATGAATATATCAAACAGATTTGAAATCAGAGTAAAACTATTTTGTTGTCTCTTACACTTGCACATGCGAGTTCGCGATTCCTTATTTGCGCCGCGTATACCTACATGTGCGCACGCCTAAAACGGACGAATTACCAAAAGCATATTATAGAAAATATTTTCACGGGTGACAGTGATTCTTGCGAAACCGGTGATGGCAACAGAGCTTAGTTTTCGTACGATAACAAAATAAATTAAAACTGCTGAAAATGACAATAATCGATTATAACGGGCGTGCTGCAGGTATTACTGTATTAGATTTCGATTATCTACAACTGTACAACACGTAACAGCCAACGGTCGTGATAAACGATTACGGATCATCATATCCTGTTCGTCGATATTATTGATTGTAAGCAACGACGATGATGATTTTAATAATGATAATAATTTTCGTGGTGATTGCAAAATATCAACAACAGTGGACTTGAAGAAAAATTGGTACCTATTTAACGAGACATTGTGTGTATGATTTATCCGTTTTGACGTGTCCAACGCAAACAAAAGTACTGCAGGCCCCGCCGAGTGCCTATACTATTTTATACAATATGGTTCTGATTATGAACGAATTCGGTCCGCGCCTGGCCGACGATTTATATTTTACACCGTGAACGTTAGAAATTTTTTATTTTTTTTTTCGCTGACAATTTTATGACGTGTCTTATTGATGGATTTAAAATTCGCCGACTTCGTCCGTAGTAGTCCGTCGGTCGTCGTTTGGCGGCAGGACGAAAGCGAAACAACAATCGACGGACGACATTGATTTTTCGTGATGTTTTTATTTTTTTTTTGTGGTGACGTACGTAGTGGTGTTTGACGAACGATGATGAATTTTAATCGCACGCCGTCGTTTAATATTATTCGTTTACGACGAGTACACGTGTTCACTTTGGCCAATTCGTGTGGGTTTCACTTGTTTGTTTTCTTAAATATTAAACAGTGCACCGTTTAACGAGGTGATTTATAATTAGAAATACAATTTTATACAAATAAATATGCCGCGCACGTGCGTTTGCTACGACGGGTCGGCGGTGATCGGTTGGCGATGTTTGAACGCACAGAGAGTATAAGAGAATATAATGATCAACGAAATCCAATCAAAATTTCTTGTTTGGGCGAGCGTGTTAGATGATGACTTATTTAGACATTTTTCGTTGTGGGGTTTTTTCACCACCCTTCTCGGCGCAGTGACTCGAGGACAGAGGGTCAAGAACTGGAAAACAAAACAGCTTAATATGATACCTAGAATAAGAACCGAACTTAAATACTTTCAATTTTCAAATACTCGGAACCTATGTTTTCAAACGATTATTAATTTTGATTTTACCTCGTTTTTTTCGGCTTTGAGAGCTTAGGAGTTCCTTGATAAATCAATAAAACTGTTGCCGATAGCTATTTATTTATCGGAAAATCTAAATACTTCAATGACTATTTATATATTTTTATTTTGATATACATATACAAGGTACCATTATTATCTTATTTAAATATAAAAATTAAACAAATATTATAGCAAACATCAATAAAAATCATGTAAACATATAACATAATATAATGTGATTGTAATAAATATCAATAGGGAAGAAGTGTCCGAGGCCCCATTAGCTCTTTAGAGCGACTATTAAAAAAAAAAAAAAAAGTAATAATAATTTTCAAGTAGTAATACATAGGTAAATAGTCTAAATATGATGACGTAGTCATCAGATCTAGATTTTTATTTTTAACGAAACAAGCATAGTTACGTTTTAAAAATCAGTTTTTCTTATTATATCGATGTAATAAAATAATTTCATAAATTTATTGCTTAAGAACTATTAGTTAAATAGTGAATAGTTATCGTGTATAGAAAGTGGCATTTGAGTAGTTTTATTTTTATTCGTAGTAATATCTGTTTATTTAATTTGTTATAATTTTTTTTTTTTTTTTTTTTAATATTTACAGTGTTCTGAGGCGCATTCAGTAAATTTCAGTAAATTTCAAATAAGAAAAGTGTTTTTATTGTGTATTATTTCATAAGTTGTGTTATTGCGTAATTAGTTAGGTATCGATTTCAACAAAACATACGCTGGCTAATACATATTTTATTGTTTTCCAAAAGACTCCTATCAACTGGAGTTGATAATAATTTTCAATTTTGATGTTATTTTGTACATTATATAGCTTTGAGTTTTAAATATTTTTGATTTCCGTATAATATTAAATATTCGAAATGGCAATACAAATCAATCCTTTTAACAATAGTTTAAATCTAAAAATATTGCTAATTAACAACATAAACGAGGCTATCAATTGGTTGTTAAATTTAACCAATTTCGGTCTTGCCCGAAACGATGGAACACCTGTCAATCGGTTAGTAGTGACAAGATCATGGTTTGACATTTACGCCACGACTGGATTGGGCAAAACCGAATCCGTACGAACAGATTAATTTCATAATTTCTTAGGTCGGGAGATATTCGAATAAAAATTGAAAAATATCGATTACTGCAATATCGGCACGTTGTGTTGCGTGCGACAATACAGTTTTCTCGTGTAATAATACGTTATATTTCATATCTTTTTAGGCGTCTAAAATGGACTGTGTGATCCAAATCACGCAGCTGATGAAAGAAAATTTTGGTATTAATTCGTGTTTGGATTCGCACAAATTGCAAACAAACACGAAATGTTTCGACGATTTACCGAGCGCTATATACATTGCAGAGAATTCGTCCATGGTAAGTAAGTCACCGCGATTGTTCTCCACCCCTCCCCCTTCATAAAACCTTATTGTTTTCCATTATTACATTTATATTGATATCGGATCACAGCTACTATTTGTAAAAAACAATATCCCTGTTCTCTATTTAAGCCTGTAACTGGACATATAGACATAATATTTTTTTGAGAGACATTAGTATGCCAGAATACACTACACTCACAGTTAAAAAAAAAATATTTAATGTTTTTCTCCCAACAATACTTACCTACACAGTTTCCAAAGGAACAAACCGAAAAACTCGGTATCTTAGGATATTTCTTGGACACAGGCGACACAAAACTGCCTTTAGAAATGCTTAACGACATATCTAACATAATGATAACGCGACCAAGAGAAACTTCAACGACCAAAGACGGTATGCACGTTTACAGGCATTATATTAACTTTTACTGTTCGACTGGAGTGGGGCTGACTTTAGAAGTGAGTATGATAAATACATTTTTTAAATAATTTTAAAATTATGAATAAAAATCTTAAATAGGTTATTGAACCTTTGAACTTGACAAATTTTAACCATTTAAAGTTCGAGAAAATGAGATAATATTTAGTTAATGTTCTTCGAATAGTTCATCAAAATAAAGTTCAAATGTTCAAGTATGACAACAGATTTGTTTATATTTTGATTTTTGTTAAAGCAAAAAAGCTGTTTTTATTAACAGAGTCTATACTCTGTTAATTTTTCCTAACAAGTTTTTATAATGTTTTTAAATTTATTATGATCACATTTTTATTAAAGATCAAGAAGTTTAAATTTGAGTTTATCAAAATTTTAGTTACCTAACTAAAATTACACGAGTGTTTATTATACAAGCATAAAAGTATATAACACTAAACTTTCAAACATAAAATTAATTTGAATTTGAATTTTAAATTTCAAAATATATATGTAATAACTAATAACAATAAGAAATGTTTACACCTTGAAGTAATTACTTTTGAATTATTTTTAGAATCATATTAGTATAATAATTTATAATGATACATTTTTAATGATTTTTTTATATAGAATATATTATGTATAACTGTATAGAATATAGATGCTTAGAAGTTATAACTTAAACTTCTATGGAGTAATTTTTAATAATAATTTATATAATATATTATATGGTTTTTATTTCCACTTCAATAGTATATAAATTACTTCTAAGTATTATTCAATTGATATCGGCCTTTGGCTGTTTAGATATTTTTTGAACTTTTTATATTTTTATAGATTTTTAAATTGGGTTCTTATGAGTTTGGCACTGTTACATTATTAAGTGCAAAACGATAAAAATATAAAAAAAACTATAATATTATATTATATATCTTGTATTTTTGGTATAATATATCATAATATATCGTCACTTAAACTTACCTTTGTGATTTCGTGTATCATTCCACCGAAGTCTATATTAATAATATATTAAGTGGTCTTATAATTATTATTGTACGTATTGCAATAATTCTTGTTACAGAACGCGAAAATGAGGTCCGCTGAGCAAATGATTTACACGCTGAAAAAAATCTGTGGTTTTGTACTCGAGTTTAAATTGCCAGTTGTGGGCAACCCGGGAAACGATAGAAATGATCATCATATGTGGCTGTGCGTAAGTCAGCTCAATTTTTTCCTTATCATTAGATTTAAATTTATACAACTATAGGTTAAGTATTAATTAATTATTAGTAAACGTATAAATCACGCGTAACGCCGTCCATTTAGTTCGCGTATACATATTTACAGCCAAGATAAATACATTGAAAAATCTGCATTGTTTTCCAAACTAAATTAAACATTTTAATAGTATTTAATCGTTTAGTCTTGATATTTTCTTTTGCTGTAGCTCCCGATTGACGACCAATACAAAATAAAATTGATCAGATACTTTTTGGAAACGTCCAGTGAGGTGCCGCACGCAGTGCAACTCAATAAAATCGCATCCATGATGAAAGTGGTCGTGAAATATTCGGACTCGGGAAACAACAAACCTGGTGTGGCATGCGAATTTGGGCCTTATATAACGGTCGGTGTGGGCTCTACGAAAATGGTCTGCATAATATTATTAAAAATTAAAATATTTAAAAATAACGACACCGTCACATGCGTTGTTTGGTTTGCTACAGATAAGCGTGTACAAATCACGGTCGGCAATGTTGAACCATCTAAAACTGGTATGTGGTTATGTACAATATCCCCGAACGTTCACACCACTGGACTGCTTAGAGTCTACAGTGGGCGAAAACCATGGGACGGACTACGGTTACGACAGACGTGAAATTCCCATCCCGAACTTTTTGACCGAGCACCCGTCAAACGAAGTTACTCCGGCCGAACCTCTCGAATTGTGGAATCACGTAGACACAACTTCAACCGTGCGTATGGCGTATCACATAATATATTGTATTTAAAAGATTGAAACGATGACAGGATATATTGCATAAGGATAAGGTTAACATCGGTTAGCAGTGTAATTTTCAGTGTAAATCTTTCACGGATTTTGTTTGTGGCATCATGGTTCAGTCTATAATATGATCCACCTTCTTGTAAAAATATGTATTTCTAGTTTTGAAAATATCTTATAAAGATTGTATCTGTCTTTATGTGGGTATCAATTTAATTAACCCATAGTCAAAATAGTTTCTATACAGGTATGCCGACACCACTGTGTGGGTGTAACAATTCAGTGTATCAATTTTAATCTTGAAGCCATCTATTGAGTAATACACCATTTGACCGAATTCTGAATTACTATCAGTCAGAGCAGAGCGATGGATATATTTTGTTTTAAGAATGTATATTTTTTTTTAGTCACGCGTATTCGATCACAGCCTTTTTGTAATTTTAATTTATTTGAAATTAATGTATAATATGCGAAATATTCATAACAAAATAGTGTATACAACTATTGGTGATAAAATAGTAAAAATAATTTAAATACATAACAATGACTTGTATAGAATTAATAAATTCCAATACCTAGTAAGTTTGACTGATCTCACAAACGACCCACCTTACCCTGTTCTTCAAATAAAGACATTATGGATGTCACAAGAACGACTTCATACACGATTTATATTAATAATACCTAACTAATATAGCAATCACCATAACTTAACTAATATTTATATATTGCATATCATTTTGTACATGTTATTTTATTGTAGTTATACTGTATATATTGTAGTAGGTATTATACTCGTGTTAAAAATAATGCTATTAAACATAATTTATTTCACTGTACTCATTTCCATAAGTACATTGTATTCAAACGTTTTGAATTTGAGTCGCTGTGTTGACGAAGATTATAAAAAACAATCAACGTGCAAAATTGTTTATTTAGCAGAAAAATCTCGGTAAAATTGATTCTATGATATATACCATATATTAGGTATTATATTAGGATAAATTTTGTAGTATAGTGAATAAATAAGCATATCGTCGCTCTGTAATTATTTTATTCCTAGATTTGTGACTAACATACTGTGATGTTTATACACATATAGAGTGTATACCGTCCAGTGACAACGCCTACAGGGTTTTTTTAACGCCCCAACTAATTTCATTAGGAAAGTCTCCCTCTTTAATAGATCACATCAATTTCTTTCACAATGTATACACAAAAATACTATATTTTAAATTAAACTTATTTTTAATGTTGATTTGTAATACGCCTATACTATTTATTGTAAAATTCTGAAGTAAAATATAATCAAAAAAATAGCATTTAGTAAAAATCATATCTTTCAAATATATCTTGGAGATATGATTAATTTATTTACGCTCATAATAACTTTTATATTTAGAATAATATATATAATATATAAAATATAAAAATAAATGGTTATGTTATTAAGTTTTTTTTTTTTAAATCCAAATTACCACGATCGTGTGTCATTTTGATGATAAATTTACCCAGCTTACTAGTATTACAATATTGTGTTATATAAAGACTAGATAACTATTGTACGTTGCCGCATAATATATTATTACGTGAATGTCACTACATCTTTGTTAAAACAATATTAATTGTAAATACCGTTAAGATCATTAGTAGGTTAATCTAAGGGACCAAGATTAAGGTAACTTTTGTACCTACAAAATATTATAATATCTTGTTTTTGTGTATTTTAAAATTAACCATTCCATTATATTATTCTGCTTTTTAAACTATAATACAGTATTATTGGCTATAGCATTTATCATAATTCAATATAGTAAATTAATATATTATAGATATTTTCTGATGAGGGGGGATTGATCGGGCACCACCGCCGTTATTGCTATATGTCACGAGAATATTATAATACATCTATATTTAGTAAACTTCAGTTTTGAATAACATGACCTTGTCTAATTTACAGCCTCTCTCTAATACTCAAGAATCAATAGAAATCGTCATGCAAGACGGCGTAATAGTGAGAGGAACGTTTAAGCCAATTATCGAACGGGTCTATAACAGCAACATGCCTACAAGACATTTAAGGAGAAATGTTCGTTGTCTAGCCCGAATCCCGATGGCTGAAGAATCATCTGAAAATCCCAATCAAGAAGACACGAATTAGACGTGGGTCAGTGAAAAACAGTTATTTATTTATACAGTATACTTCACATGATATTTATGTGTATCAACTTATATCCGACCATGCTTAATGTTTGTACATTATCTTTACATTTTTACATTAAGTATAATGTAATACTTACATTTAAAATAAACTAACGTTAATTTTGCTGTTATTACTTCTCCGTATATAACTATGCAAACGTTTATTTTCTTTTTAGATCAAATTACGATCAATGCATTTGTTTTTAAGATGACGCAATACCAGCATATGTTGTCTACGTCTTATAAAACGTGGGACATAACTAATTAATGTAGAAAACAATTTTGTGTTATTAAATTTAATATTAGAGTTAATTGACCTAAGACCAAATCTAAAAGTAAAAATATGATCTGTTATCAGTTGTCGCTTTTTTACAATCTATAATTTTTTTAAGTAAGTTATGAGTATATAAAATATTAAAATACAAACATTTTCATTACTCACTTAAAAATTAAAAGTTTATAGAAAATTAACGATATTACAAGTAATGTATTTTAAAACATACAATTTGTTCTTTTGAATGCAGTGCGAATTAGGTATATTGTATGTTTGTAAAACGGAGATAATACATGTAGATATAATATCTTCATTAATCATTTGTTGTTTCTTCATTCATAATACTAAACCTAACCTATGCAAACACTAAATTTATGCTCGGTAACCGGTAACACCAATTCAATGTTTCTGTTTTAAACAAGTAAAATTGTTTACTATAATATTATACGTAAGTACAATAGTAATAAAACATAATCCATGCTTTATGATTAATATTTTTTTTTTTTTTTTTTAATTTTAAAGCTAATTATAATTAAAAATTAAATATTAAACAATAGAAGTATACATATTACTTGATTTTTAAAGTCATTGAATAAAATCAACAGTGGAGCGTAGAGAATACCGTCTTTGGTTTTAATAAAAATAGTTAAATTTAAAATAATACATAAGAAATAAACGAAACAAATCTGTTATGGAAATGCTGATGATGTAACTGTTATCTGTTAATTCCTTCGATGAGTGCACGACTTAAACTTACATAAAATAATATGACCAAACTTGTCTAATACAATATATACCTACAGATTACCTTTTACATTCAATCGTAACCGTTTAACCGTTTACGTTTTTATTATATTATAAACAATAGTAAAAAAAGTTGAATTTTGGTATCATTTTTGATCGGTATTGATCTATTGTTATTATTATTATTAGTTTATTAGTCAATATATATTATAGAATGATCATATAAACATTATAAGCTATAATATGCTTCATTGAATTAAGCACCGACCGCCCGGGGAACCGACTCTTACGACGGTGTAAGATGTATCTACGATAATATATTGCATAAATCTATACTAATAAAAGGCAATGTTTGTGTGTACTTGTGAACAATCCACATTCAAGTTTATAGCACTCATCGTTCTGAAATTTAGTTCATAAATAATCACCAATTCTTAAGGACTTATCGGCTATGCCTGAGAAAGTGTCTCAAAACCAATTTTTAAAATTTTACATTTTAAAAAGGGACTCATACAAGGAGTTTTTGGATCACAAATAACGAATATTTGTTTATTAGTATAGGGATACCCTTATTCACAGAAAGTAAAATAGTTATAGTAATTGGATATCATTTTAAATTGGTGTTAAATATATTTTGGTCAATACCAAAAAAATTACATTTAACAGACTTTAATCCACTAGTATTATTTAAATTGTCACGGTAACGCCGTGTAGGATTAAAATTAATAAATTTATTTACAATATAAAATCAAAGGTTCAAAACAAATACATATTACAAACCCACTATTGTATGACCGATTTTTATAAGATTTTCGTCAATCAATTCAGCAGTGACAGAGTGCCTTTGGCTACTATTTTCATTACTTACTTTTTACTTTACAACATATAAAATAAATAATGTTTATAGTTTACTCACGATAAACTATCTTTTATGATTTATTTATTATTTCAATTGGTTACAGAAAATAGAAATTTGATTAAATATAATTTTAGACCAGTATTTTATACTTTGTCAAAACCAATCAAATAACTGTGTTAGTAAAGGGATAAGTAATTTAATTTAAAAGTAAAATAACGGGCATTTAATTTATCACAAGCGATATAGCGTAGTATCAGGTAGTTATTAATATAACGATGTATTATGTAAATAACTCCAGCATCACTGATAAATAAATAAATATAAAATTGCACCTTACGTCCATACACTGCAAAATTCCAGATCAAAATTGTCTTGAAGTTTCATCCGTAATTAAACAAGCGTTTAGTTTTGACGAACTCTGCAGGTTGGTCCGTTTTATCGTAGCTGTACGTGCAAAACGCAGTAACCATTAACTGAAAACAATTTTAAATCTAAACAAGTATATTTATAAATACAACTCACATTCTGAGTTAATTTGTAACTTCCTGGTTTTCATGTTTCATGTGTACATAATTTTCTAATGAATCGTATTTCATAAAGTATAACCAGCAGTAAACCTCCATTATCAATTTAATAATAATAATTTTTATTTTTATATTACATTTTTAATAGGTACGCACCTCAAGAACTCGTAGGTAGTATAGTAAGTGATAAAATATGTAATTTGTTTTCATTTGAAACTTCATTATTAACATTATTAACTATTAAGTACATTATGCTGTTTATTATGTAGTAGGTAATTTATTGTTAAAATTTTTTGTAACATGGTTTTTAAACATATATCTTTTGAAAGAAGACAAACAAATAAAGTATTGAGACCAGATTATCTCTCAACAAGTATAGGTGCTATCAAGTTATCTTAAAGTAATCCACCAAACCGTGTAAACTATTAATTATTTTATTGCTCACCTGCTGTATGCTTATTGCCTAGTATTCTAGCTTCTATGAGTCGAAATGTAGATAGCGTTTAACAAAGAACAAACTAGTGTACTCGGTACTCTAGTGTGGTTCATCATTGTAAAAACGATCCGCAATAAATTATCAAAGACAAAATTGTTATCACACTAATTAAATTATTGTAGAATCAACAATACCCACATTTACACTTAAAAATAATTTTATCACACTGATAATAGTTAAATAAAATCAACGATGTTAAATTATTAACTTACCATATTTACCTATTATTAATAAAATAACAGTTTTATCGAAATATAACAAACAAAAAACTAGTTCATATCAATGAAACTATATTATTATCCCCTATAAATAACTTTTAGAATAAATAATAGAAAATTTTAATTGAAAAACTTTTTATTATAAAGCATCGACAATTGAGTACTGACAAAATTAACAATCGTATTTTTTTTTTAGTACACTTAATATAATGCAAGTATAAAAATAGACCACATAAATATGTAATGAATATATAATATCCAATAAACGCGAGCAAAAATCTAAAATCACTGTGCATATTATTTTTAATGCAAAATATATTATTTTATTTTTTATACAATATTTTCGTTGAAACATTTCGTTTCATTGTATCAAACAATGCACCCGATAATAAAAAACCACTGTTGGTTTAAAACAATATCATTTTTCATTTTAATTGAGGTATACCACCTACTAGTTTTAATAATATAAGTCATTAAAACAAAATTGGTGAACCGTATACAATAAAAGTATAATTTAACATGTTAACAAGTTAGTCAGCTATTCTAATTTAAAACAGTCAAAAATGTGATTTATTAGAATTGTTAAATTTTGTTCCGGAAACAAACCGTTATACAACTCGTTCTTATCGGTAACAATAAAAATTAAAACTAAGCTGGTTTAATGTTTGTTTAAATATTTGTGTGTGATATTATTACTGTGTTTTAAAACATATTATTTTTCTTCGATTTTTTTTTTTTTAATTCTATTGTTGATTTTAAATTATCTTTGATTTTTAGACACGTGAAACAATTTCACGGTGTGTTTTATATTTAAATCCCTCTGCTTTGCAGGTCTCGGGCATTGATGGTGACAATATGATTGTGTGAAAACTGTAAAATTAAATAACTGTATAAAAATCGACTGGCTAGAAAAGCCAGGTGTACGTTGCTAATATCGACGCGCATAAACAGTTTATGACGATTATGGCCACATCATCCTATTCAATTGCATTGTATATTTTCTAAGATCGTAGTGCGTGTTTTATTAAGAAGTAAATTTGAAATAAAATTTTGAGATCAAAAAACGAAATGGTTGATTTTGACATCAAGTCTCAGCTGGATCTGCTCAACGGTATACGAATATACAGCGCATCTAATAATTATATTATTATGATAGAGTACTATGTTATTGTTAATCAAAATTAATTATGACTTACCGTTAACGTAAAAAAATAAAGTCCAGCATTTATTTTAACACAATATTTCCCTTTTAATAAATAATTAAATCGTCGTAGCATTGCGGCGACTACCTACCTATACTATGGTATACGCGCCACGCAAATTCTGCTATAACGAAAAAAAATTATCCACTTTATACGACTCTGGTACTAGAACAGTTTACTTCCAATGGGTACCAGTTTATTTTTATAGTACGCGGTTTTCACGATCGACACTTTCGTATTTACGCAGATTACTTAGACAGAGAGATGGAAGGACTGAAAACCGAATACTTCGTCATCAAACCCGGTATCAAGGCAAGTGGCGAAAATCGCTCGGTGAGTTGCAACACACGTTATAAGTTATTAGTTATTACTCGAAATTAGTTTAAAAGACAAAATCAATAATAATTTATTATTACTGAGCACTGATTAGTTATTTAAAAATATTTTTGGGATGAAAATTAAATTATTTTGTATTGTTTTTTAAACTTTTTTAATTGCCATAAGTATTAGTTTCTAAATCTAATTATGAAATAATTTCTCTCGCCTTTGAAAAATACTCGCAACATAAAAATATGACAATAATATACTACTTTGTACACAATGAAACGTCAAAATATTTACAAATTTATAAACATTGTATCATTTTACTATGAATAATTTAAATCATGAACATTTATTACTCGCCTACATTAAATACCTTATTGTAATGAAAATATGCATTTGTGTATACTAATCCATTCGTTACTTATAACATATTATTACTTACTAGTTACTAATGACTAATAACGAAAGCGTAGTACCTACACTACGCTCATCAATATCATATTTATAAATAAAACAAATTAAATACTAATTCCGAATTAGTAATTCGACTTGAGACTTCGAGAGAGGCGTTATGAACATCGATCTTTGTAGAAAAATAAACAATCGATTTTCTAAAAAAAATATTTATTATAAATTATAAGTATCGCGTAAAGTGCATTTATGATTTTATGACGTATATTCAACGATAAATCTGGCACTTAACTGACTTAACGAATTTTTAGTGGGTAATGTAGAATATATTATACTGGTATCATTACATGTTTAATTTATTCAATGTTTACTGAAAAGAGTAAATAAATTACTCGTTAATGAAATATTGTTGAATTTTCATTTATATTGGTTTTATTTTTACACTTAATATTATTCTTATACGATAAAAATTAAAGCCGTGAGAAACCCCTTGCAAAAAAATCCAATAGGAAGCTCGCTAATACATCAAAAAGTAAAAGAAAGAGATAACTAAGACTTTTTGTTTTTTATTTCGATGAATATATATTTTAAATCAGTTGTTTCAATATTTTATCTAAGTGTAAAAAAAGAAACATCTCGTAGTACAATTTTTAATCTGTATAATATAATATATATAGATTATTATTGATCGTAATTATTTCCCGCAATATTTGGGTGTTTAATTTATTCATGAAGTGTACAGAGACATGTATTGCATAATGATCAATTGCTCCACAATTATATACAATGTATAAGATAAATACACAAATATATGTATTGTATTAATTATCAATGAAAAAAAAATTGACTTTAAAATAATTAGTATTATTCCAATGTTTTTCATGAATAATTAATATGTACTAACACAGTTGTGATATGGTATACTTATTTTAATTTTAAACTAACAGCTTTTGCTGGAATTTATTGTACTGTATAGCTGAATATATGAAAGGTAATTGCTTGTACATTATATTTGTCGAAAGCGAATCGCAGATATAAGTAATTAAAATGAGATAAATATAAATAAAACAAACTCTTGAAACTTGTTACTATTCTTAAATTTTTTCCACTTTTTGTCAATCGTTTTTGATGTTAATATAAATATTCAAATCTTCGATATTTTGAAAATAATACTTTGATTTTTGTTATTTACGGGGTCCACGATTTTGTGTACACCTGATTTTTTAAAAGACGTCTGGGTAGAAAGTGGGACTACGACCGGAAACTAGGAAAGTATAATCATCTAAAACTATCTTAAGAATTTTAGCACGTTTAACGATTATGAAACAAAAACACTCCAAACCGGGTAAATAACTTAACTGTGTTTCAGGTGACTGTTGACGGCGACGCATCGACGAGCGTCGCTAACGGATCGCAGAACGACTGCAACAAGGATCGTCTGCTATACACATGGCAAACGTACAAAAACAACAGCGTGTGGTATCCACATACAGTCTCAAAGAAAAGGAGCAAAGCCATAGACATCATTAACCCGAAGACCGGTGAAAAAGTATTAATATGAACGAATGTAGAAAAAACTTGCTTCATGCTCCAAACGCTTCGCAGTTGCACATGTCATTATTTATTACCACGTTTTGTGTCCAATAAAAATTATATTGTTTTATTTATTCAACCTACTTGTATATTGTTGACGTTTTTATTGACTTGTCAATTGTCATCTTGTACTATAAATATTAAAAAAATAAAAATGTCTGTAACTCGGCGAATTGAATAGGCAATTTTGCTACATCTACATGTCGTCAGTTTTGAAACGAACGTTTAATGGAGTTATCCAAGTTTTTTGTCGCTCATCTCATCCATCATCAATACTTTAATATTTATGACGATAGGCTAAAAACATATAGAATTCATATAGGTAAATGAACAGTGTACAGGGTAAGTATTCTAAAGGTCACATAAAGTTTCTTCTTCAAAAAAAAAAATGTATAACACTGTATTATCAGTTCTGAATTAACGTATAGAACAAGCTGATAGACATATCACATATAAATAATCTATTAAGAGATTAATTTTCTAGTGTAATAAAAAGAAAAAAGCGCAAGAAATAGTGTATACATTAATAAGACATACAAAACTTAACCGTGATTTTTATTAAAGTACTCAGGAGGGTTGGTATGATCCCTTTCATAATTTTTTCGTTTTTTAAATATTAAATTGTTTGGCAGTATATTTATTTTTGATTATCAACCGTCTACAAGTATATTGTAAATTATTAGTCAAGATAAAAAACTCAACACACCATTTATTCTCTCTATTCTAACTGCAATATAAAATTTGCTGTACTGTACAAAGAAAATTAATAATGTGTCGAATAATCCGATATCTTCTTGAATCAAAACTACATTTATTTAAATATTTTTCAGTAGTATAATATGATACGTGTAATTTTTTTTATACAACAATTTTAAATGTACAAATAATTGACATAATTTTAATTTAATAAACAACAGATTTTTGTATTAATGTTCTTTGACTATGAATTAGATGGCATTTTCAAAATTTCGGTATACATGTAGTAATGTAGTATGTACCGAGTTATCAATGAGCAATGGTTTAACTATAAACCAATAACATTTCATAAATTATATTTGTTACATATTTACTTTAAAAAAGAAGAACTATTTCTTTTAAATGTATAAAACCTAAAGTTAATTAGAAAATGAGCACACTTGAGTAGACTTTCCTAATTTATTTTAACATATTAAGCACAATCCTTAAGTATTATTTATAAAATTGTACGATATTAATGTTTAAAAAAAAACTATTTAGTTAATCAAAAAACCTAAATCTACAAGTAAAATTTGTCCTAAGACAACATGTCTACTATATAAACGATATTAACTTAACCAAAATAATAGGTTTATCATTTTTTCCTTGTAAAAAATATGATAATTTATAATAGTTCTATTGTAAGTTATTATGTAATAACAGTACAGAATTTATACCGTTGTTATTTATTACACACAACTTAAAAAATATACTATAAAATTATACAATGGAACAGATTACCAAAGACTTTAATATATGAAAACATGTTTATTGTTTACATGTAAGTCAATATTAAATCAATTCAACTTTATTGAGCAAGATTATAGTGATATAACATTTAAGCAATAGCACTTCAAATATATATATATTTATTTTTTTTAAATGATTAATGATTATATACTAATTACTAAATAGTAAATTCAGACATTATTTAATATGTCAAGAGATCTGTTATCATTATATGTAGGCAACATGTATAAAAAAATATACTTTAAAATTTATAATTTTTAGATATCGCAAGTATAATATTTAAATGAGCAATTATTAATAAGAAATTCATATAAATTATTTGTCTACATATCTGAATAACTATTATATTACTATTAAACTAGACAAACATTCAAATGCATTTATTGAATACAAAAAACCATATTATTGCTATAATAGTGTTTATTTACACAATATTTTATAAAACCTTAATGTATAGTATTTAAAAATAATCAGCTTTACTATGGACACATTTGCCAGAACATAACAATGTTATTGCAATATTAACAAAAATATTATTATTACTAATAGAGTCTCAGTTACTAAATCAAACTTATAATAGAGTGTGTGGTTCTTACATCGAAAGATGTCAGTAACAGCACATAATAGTTTTTTCTTTTAATTATTATGTAAATTAAGAAATATAATAATAAACTATGCATAACACCTTCTAAATAGTATAATATTCATTACGTTTAACATATTATTATAATTTATTTTGGCTAAAGGCACTATAAAATCTGTATGTTATATAAAAATAAAATATTGCCATTATTCAAAATGATAACAGTGTGATAACAATACCACAGTTTCTTATTATTCTTTTACAAAATAATTGAACTACTCTCGTCCTACATTTTAGTGCCAAACTCTAACTCATGGCGGAGACAAATATCAAACATTAGAATAATCGTTGAAAAAAATAAATATTTAACAAAAAATGTGTGCGGGAATATACTGTTCCTTTCAATGAATAAAAATAACGTATTTATCAAATAGGTCATGAATTTCGTTATCGAATTGCATACACAACACCAGACGAATTTTTAACCTCTGACTTACGCCATATTAGAAAACTCTTAAAGCAAAAATTACTTCATGAAACGTAAAAACCTCGTCATTTTTTCAACGTACAATATACACCATGACGAGACCCTGTGAACACGCGTGATTTACGTTCACGCAAAAATTAAATTTAAATAATAAATTAAATAAACTGAAAAATAAGTATGATCACAATCGTAATAATAATAGTAATAATAGTAAATTATGGGCACGGTCAGTAAAACTTCTTCATTATTTGTAAGGAATAACTTAATAGACTAAAATAATTATGTAATATTGTATTCACACTACAACTTCCTGGCGATGTCCTGCAAGCTGATATACGTGCCTAGAACCAAGGCCAGGACGCCAATGATGATCAATATGATGTCCTTGATGAGTACATAATTAAAGCGACCGAAGTTACGTTCAGGCCACAGGACGCAGATCTCGATAAGCGCCGGGAACCCAATGCCCAGTACGGACAAACATAGGGCGCCGAACAGCGATATGAACAGCTCCAACAGAGGTATGGCGATGGCCAATATGACTGCAAACATTCAATTAAGACAAATATTAGATGTATAATTAACAACTCTGTATTAGTAATTATAATGCTTTTCAATTCAAAGATTTCTTAAACTGTCAGTTGTTCAATACGTAAATGATTTGCAACAATGAATTTTAAGTTATTTTATTTAACAATTAAAAATAAACTATACACATAAAAATTGATGCATTTAAAAATAATTATTATATTTACAAATAATAACTTTTTACGTTTTAAGTGTAAATATTTTTAAGGGATAAAAATGTACCCTCCTCCTTCCACAATTCTAATTTAGTGTGATGCATTTCCCCCATTATTATTCGTAATCTCTATAAGAGACTAAAGTAAATAGCATTGATTTCATAATACAATGTATAATTTATAGTACATTATAAAAATTATTATACCTATATTAACTCGATACTTTGACATCAAATTTGACATGTGTTATATCGAACAGAAATTGTGTAGCTGAATTTTCGATGTATTATAATATATTATATAGTCCTAACTCCTAGTCATATTATAACGTTTTGGGGACTGTCAAGTTTGACAATTGGAAACATTGTGTTATATACTTTTAAATCATTTGCGTGTTGGCAACTGGTATAAATAAAATATATGTATATTATAGTCGGCAATATTTGGCACGAGCAACTTAGCTAACTTCAAAGCGAATGTTGGCAATTAACAATACCATACCGAAAGCAAGAGTTTTTTAAGTATAATAATTATATACAATTCTATATATTATTTTAAATTGCAGTATTATAATAATATTATGATAAAAACTAATAATTACCATAATAGTTGAACAAATAATTTGTATTCGTCGATAAATGAGACAAATATACTACTCAGTTCTATATATAAATTATCGATAGCTGTTAAAAACACATTTGGGTTGGATCAAAAATAAAGATAAATGTTTTTTTTTTAATTATTTAAATTTTAAAATTAATTAAAATGTTGTTGGAAAAAAAATTATTTTTAAATATAAAACATTTACAACAATATTTAACACATACAATAAGACTATATTTTTTTATTTCTAACCAGTTATTTTTTTCTTTATATTATTTTGGATATTTACATTTCTCAATAAATTTGATTTACAAGAGATGACGGGTGGATTTGAAATAAATCTGCTATGCCAAAAATGTATTTAAAATAATAGTATAAATAGAAAACTTGTTCTTAAAATAAACAGAGGTACTTATAGGGGCTGTAGACTGTATAACTACAAATTATTAAGCATTATAAGTAGATTTAATATTGTCTTTATGGTCCATGCTATATTTACGATTGATAAGGTACACTACATATAGGAGATAATATCAAACAAAGAACTGAATAATTTATTTAACAAGCAAAATATAGTGAGTGTAAACACCCGAGAGTGAAGTGGCTGGAACTTAAAAAGAGCAAGAATGATAAATTAAAGTCACAAAATGGAAATTATATAAAATATTATCAAGGGAAAGCCCTACATAATGGTAAAAATATCGGACTTAGATGTAAAAATCGTAGAGGATTTGAATGAAAGAGATAAAATTACGCAGAGATACACATATATTTTTGAAGTGGTGATGGGTCTAAATTTCGTAGAATAAGTAACTGATAAATAAAATTAACATAAAGTTGAACTCTCACCGAAGTACTATCGCTGGATAGTCTCTTCATTTCACGTACATCAACCAAAATAATAATGTTATTATGTAAACGCTTATACTAATACCAATTATTATTATTATTATTATTATTATTATTACTGTGAAACTATCAATTAAGCTTATTGTACCATACGTTTACAGATTGTTAAATAGTCTTTATTAAAAATAAGAAAAAAATAAAAAAACATAAAATTGATTATTACTTATTAAAATTCTTTCTGTTACACCCTAGATTAAATATATCTATAAAAATTCATTCTAATGAACACATTTAAGTTTACACGACTTTATGACAAACTGTATTGATTGATCTTATTTGTACAATAAAATAAATAACATTTCGGGTGTTGCTAGTAAGGATTTCATGAAACGAATTTAAGAAATTAGCTGCTACATAATATACTCGCTGCTAAACTATAACTCGACAAAATTTTTATTAACAATTGATTAACTTCCCCTTTTCTCCAGGAAAATAAAAATAGACTAATCCTAAATCTTAAAACAAATTCATAAAACTAAACATATTTTTACGTTCCTACAGCTATTTTTTTCTTTTTTATAATTATAGTAACCATACGAATATATAAACAGCCACTTTGTATATAGTTTATTATTATAATTACACGTAATGAGCACAACGGATATGCGGAGCAGATATTCCATGGTCGCCTTATCCCAATTTTGAATTCTCTTCTTCATGTACGTATTCCAGATGATATCCACTGGCACGTACGCTTGAAGTGCATACGTGATGAATATAGCGAACGCGAAGATAAGTTTGACAGCTTGTGAGAGGCTAGAACAAATAACATTTGTAAAAGACAATGTACATAATAGCTGAAACGTTGCTATGATTAATAATATTTATTTCCACCTTAGTCTGTTCGACTCCCTCATCCCTAAAGTTTTTAAAAGAAACTTCTAAAACAAAAATCATCTTTTTACAAGCGAAAACCATAAAAATCGAAACAGTAAATCCTTCGGTACCTGTAACTTATTTCCTTTTATTTATTTCCTTATCCCCCACTAAACTAATTGATCTTATTTAATCAAAAAGAAAAGAAAATGTGATTAATTTTTTATGTAAGCTGATTAACATGGATATTTTATCAGAATACTTTCTCAATCACTAAGATATTTCAAGTATATATAATAAATTTGTAATATGTTGTAATAATATGTCAACCCAGTAATCACCGTTCAATCTCGTTTATTCTAAACCTTTTTAAATTATTATTTTTATTGGATAAAAAAATACTAATAAGAAGTTAAATAATAATCTAAAAATAGAAAATGTTCATCCAAACAAAGCTAAGAAAATTAATAATATACAAGATGATGTTTAATATAACAATTAACTACACTCTATCTTCCTAATCAATTTACAATATTTGTACAATACTATACATTTTATAGTAAAATATTATGTTTTTTTTCAGTTATTTTACTCTTAAGTCAGATTTTAATCAGTTAGAGAATTCGCTATCGGATTTTATTTTTAAGTGGTAATCATCATTTTTAATTTTCGTGATCTGAAGCATAATACTTTTATGAAAAAAATGTATATAAACAAATACCTCCTAATAAGGAATACGCATTTAAAAAAAATAATGTCAACAAATATTAAAACTCACGTGTCTTTATTCGGTAAGTTGAGCGTCACGCTGCCCAGTGCATTTTCACCATATTTGACGTATCCAAAGAAGCCCATCCCAACGTACATGATTGTGATGATAGTCATACCAATATTAAGAACGCCAGTTGTACCACCGAAAGATGCTGGGGTTTTCATGTTGTTCTCCAATGCAAGTACCTATATCATATTCAATGCATTATTATTACTAATATTTTTTAATTAGAAGGTAAATTTTTAAGAAGGTAAATAAATATAAAAATATAGATTAAACACTCAATTTTATTTTTGCACTTTGCATTATTCACGTAAAACTCGATTGAATAGGCAATAAGATCTATGTAAACAATTTTGAAAATACTTAAATGACCATTATTTTTTTTAAATATAAACACGATTGATAGGTGTCTATATCATATGCATAGAAGACATATATATATATATATATATATATAAATACATCAGTCAATTATATTTTAAAATATGACTAGTCTATATCGATAATGACTATTTTTAATAGACATTGATATTATTGGCTAAACATTTTAGAAAATAATAATACAATTAACAATTTAATAGGTATAAATCAATTTTATGATTGGTTGTTCTGTCATTATTGATTAAGAGTAAGTAATCAATATAAAACTAACAGAGTTGGAATAAGGACTTGATAAATTAAATTTAAAGGCAATTATATCACTATTACAGATAGGTAAAAATAACTTATTCTCACGTGGTAAACCACTATTACACTTTGAGGTATAAATCCACTTGACAGATCGACAAATACATTTAGTTGTTATATTTTAATGACTAGGTAATGAATCGAATTATAATATTAGCTGATTTAACAAGTTAATATCGTAAATATATGTTCATTTTAGATAATAAGTATAATATCAACTTATCCAAGCATTATATATAAAAATACTATAATCAATACCATTATTTTAATTTACGATATTGACGGTAACATTAAATTATGTAGTAGTCAAACAATGATATAATTATGTTACTTGCAACGAAAAAAAGTAACAATTCAATCATCAATTATTGTACATTATAATATAAATAATAATAGAACTTCAGAACTATTTTTATAGCCAACCGGTAACTACAAACTTACCACACCAACGGCTTCTAAAGCGAATAGGGTTGTGCCTACAAACAGAGTGTATTTTCTCGGTTCACCAATCAACGGTCTCGAATCTATGGGCGGCAGGTCGGTGAATATGTACCAAAGTACAATTGCAAGTCCGACAAACGTGATGATATTAGCCGCCTGCGAAAAGGGCGCCAAAAGTTTTAAGTTTCTGATGAGATTTATGGCCACCAATGGGATCAAAATCCCCAGCATATAGTATCGCTCATTCATCGGTTCAATGTAAATGTCCAACACCTGTATAGCAGAAAAAAATGATTATTCACACGAAAGCTATATGATTAAAATTATATATAGATAATAAAGCAAACTCTCCACTCTACATCACCCAATAATATATACGTTGACCCTGGAATCATAGTTTAGTAGGTTTAAGGGCGAATGGCATATACCTTCTGAACTTAAAATATCCAAAAACAGCCCTTATACTTTGTACAAGCAAAAAACCAACATGTATATAATAATCACTAACCTGTTTGATACTAGTTCCGATGAACATGATGTACACACAACATATTCCCAGCTGATAGACGATCAAGAATCCGTCAACGATAAACCTGCACACATAACGGAAATCTGTTATATATTTCCGAACGATAGCACTAATATAGTTACTACTATACGCCACTAAATAGGGAATCTGCCTGTATAAGAACGGGTTTGTTTATTCATTTTTTCCCAACTTTTTAAAAGCTTAAACACATTGGTCTATATTATAATAGCGGTCGATTGATGGTCTAAATAACGACCCACCAAGGTCATAATAATGATGATTAAAACACATAGGAAGTATATCGTTACTACGCTGCACTGCATATATATGCGGAAACTGAGAAATTTTAAAATTGTTTTTTTCTTTTAATTACATGTATATTATGATGATCAAATAGTTTCATGTTTTTATATTTCAGTTTCTTATAATATTTTTAATGATAATGTTTCAGATAAAAGAACATAGGTATTTTTAAATATATTTAACTTATTTTTTATATAATACATATTATATACAAACGTAAATCGTAATTAGGTAAAAGATTATTTAGTAGAGAAATTTATAGAATTTACAATGGGTTTTATTATCTTTAACTGTGAACACTTTAAGGTTATAGGTTATAATTAATAATGTATACGGCCTACATGTGAAATATAATATGTTCATAAAATGTTATAATATACTATAATTTATTACAGTCAAATCCACAAATTAATTATAAAATAAAATAAGAAATTTAATTTCAGTAAATTAAATAAAAACTGAAAAGTAGTAGTCGGAAACCATTTAAATGTTTAATAGTTTGTCAATTTGGAACCATTTAAACATTTTTTGGTAATTATTATTTGTCACTCAAAAGTAAACTTTGATATTTTATACGCATAAAATATTTAATTGCATTATTAAATGCAATCAAAAATTCAAAATGTTGCTTCATATTTATAATTATAGGTTTTTGTAAGAACGAGCAGATATACGGCGTCATATAGGTATAATAGTTAAAAGTTGAAATAAAATCACCAACGCGGAAAGAGGAACTCCGAATCGCAAAAAAGCTGGACCTTCTTGTAAGGCGTATTTCATGGAATCCGGGTAACTGAGTATGGGCACTCGAAGTCTCTTGCACAACAGGTACTGAGATCTAACCTATTGTTAATAGTGGAAAAAAAAGTATATTATTAAAAACTTTGTTATACATCTGCAGACCGTCCAGAAGGTCTCTATATGTTTTTATATGTTAAAATGTTTAAGTCACTATCAATAAATATATTTTTTTTTCTTAAATATCTATAAATAATTAAAAAATAATATTATGTTATTTTGTTAAAAAATTTCTGGCATTGAAGTACCTTACTAATAAAAGCGAGAAAAATGGTGAATATTACCATAATTATTGTATATAATAATAATACAACAACATATTTAATTGTAAAATTTTGTGTTTAAGATAGATCGACAATTTTATGAAAAATTGTCCACTGAAATTACAAAAAAATGTTCTAAAAATTAACTCAATTACTTTTCTCCACCCAACAAGCAAAACAGATATCTTGTAACCAGTTTGATCGCATTGTAACGTTGCGGTTCGATTGGGCGAGAAATGCCGAAAAGGAGCCAATTAAACACACTAATGTGACATCAACAGAAAAAACTATTGTAATCGGTTATTAATACATCAGAGTAAAACACAAAAACTGATTAATAATAGGACTTCTAATTGTAGATGTCAACACTAATATGGTTAAACGTAACCAACTTTTGCAACTCAATTCTTCCAAATCTGCCAACCTAGCACCCCGAAAGTGAAATTTTGCACATTTCACTTTGAAAAATTAATAACCATTTTAAAATAACTTATTAACTTAATAATTTATAACCACAAAATTATAATTTGTAAACTACGCTTTACCCTCAATTCAATGTCGTATTGGGTGCTGAGCTGACATCAACCTAGTTTCAACAATACTGCAAAATTTCATTAAGTAAAACAGAATTACGCGGAAAAATTTACATGAACACTAAATTAAATTAAAAAATAATAAAAATACATGATATTAATTTTAAATCAAGAGATGCTATAGTACTTAGTTTCTGGAGAAAAAAATCCCTTATAAGAAAACATTTATTCGAGAGTCAAAACTTAGATATAAAGATCTGATTTTTCGGTTAAAAATTAGTACATAATTGGTTACTAATTTTTCGAAAAAAAATTACAATATTTCATTCACTTTTGAGGTGATAGACTTGATTCTTCCAATGTTTCCGCTGATCGAACATAATACACCAGTCATGCTCTATTTTACCCAGTTTCACCAAAATGCATAACGATAAATAATTTTTTTTAGCCCAAAAAACAAGTCTAAAATTACGATCTGAACAACGGTACTTACCAAGACGTGCAAACAATACGTGCAAAGGATGCCGATAAGGATGGTGCCTACGGTTCCGATGAGCAGTCCAGAGTTGTAAAAGGCGTTGGGCATGGCCAGAATCCCAGTTCCCAAACTGCCTTTTAGCAAGTGAATGAGTGTCTCGTTATTTCTACAAGTAACGAAAATTACACAAATATACTACAATATAGTATTATGAATTATGATAGTAATAACGTCTATCATATTATAGTAATACACGATGAAATGAAACATATAATATATATTATCATTTTTTAATAGCGATATTAATATTACATTGTATTTGTATATATCACATGTTATAAGTACCTAACTAACAAAAAAATTTACACGGTTTGCTGTCGTTATAATAATATAACTACCAATTAACGCATAATAATTATGAATATATAATCATTAGCTATTTTATTTATACATATATTATTATGATTTTAATATGAATGATGCGTATCAAATAAACGATTGCGACAATAATTGTAATTATTGATGTACGATTATTCAGTACGATGCTCGTCGTCGACAAAACGAGCGCATTTAAAGGGCCATCGCTGTAGATTTGAACAAAGCTGTGCGCCAGTTTTCAATTTAAATAAAATTCATATGCCATAATCTGTATATTACTGTTGTCTATTATTATCATACACCACGACGATAGAATTGAACGCGTGCACAGTCAAGTATTGTATAATATAATAACTGATATTATAAAATTTTTTTGTCCGACGGCCATATACACGTCGTCAAACGATGTCAATTACTGTTTATTGAAGAACGCATATGCGTAAATTATAATAGTATAATACCTACTAGCAATATTATGATGATATTAATCACGCATATGTGGTAGCAAGTGGTAAGCAATAAAAACAATACATAAAATATGTTACTCTCTACAGGTCGACCTGATAGGTAAAAAGAAAAATATTTTCAACTTTTTCCCTATTAGCCATACTTTATTAAATAAAGATCAGAATATCTTGAATGTTTTTTATACCCTAGGAATTTGTAACATAGTGCAGATTTAAAAAAAAATAAGATTTAGTAAAATATTGCTAATGTATAGCTGTATTACACAATAATTAACGAGTGGAACTAAAGACTTCCAATTTTTTAATATTTGTTTAAAAAGGTCACTAACCAATTGTGGGTTATACATGGTTATACATAATTTAATAAACCTTTAATTTTACGTATTTTTATTTATCATTATTACATATTATTAATGCATACTTAAGTAGGTATATTAGAAAAATTGAGAACACATTTTTGCAATTTTTCAATACCTATATCAGAGTTGGGGTTAAAAAAAAAAACAAAAACATATTTGAAAAATTGTCGAGATAAAAATAATAAATTTCTTGCCATTGCAAGCAGTATCCGAGTTCATAACACGTGCCATGTCTCGTAAGAAATAACTTTGGTTGTAAATAGATCACCAGCGTAATATTTTCATTATGTGTATTACAAAGAAAGAAATTTAAGTATTTGATCAATTTACTTTTTCAAATTTATATTTTAATTTTTTATTTCATTTAATGGAAAAGTTAAACATTGAATGGAAATTTCCAGAACATATTAATTGCATAAGTACATAATGTTTTGAAATTTTCAAGTTTTAGAAGACCTAAACTCTATAGTAATGACTAATGACTAATGAGCGTATACTAACAGATTTCAAAATGATAAAATCTATAATAGTGCTTACTTATAATCGAAACACTGCGGTAGCAAAAATAGTGAAAAATTATAAGATTAGGTATTCTTTCAGTATACACCACCTTCAATGCTATTTGATTCGTTACAGTTAGTTAAATAAAATATAAATCATAATGTATAATAATAGCATTTTGTTTATAATGTCGCGTTAATACAATTGCTTTATAGCCATTATACACATACATTAACCATAAAAATTTGCCACACAATTGTATGTTTTAGCTTTATAGTTTACACTTTATACCTTGATAAGAACATGTATAATATATTGTATTATATAAACAGGCATGAAAATATTATTAGTCCTGTAATTGGAAGTCGTAATCAATATTTTAGAGTTGAAAAATAAGTGTTATCAATTCTAACAGAGGTTGTTTTGTTTCACGCGACTTTAATAATACTATTATATATTTTTTTTAAATATATAAAAACACCAAATCCAAAAAATACATTATTCGATTTTTATCAATTAACTTTAATCGTTTTCTATTTCACTTCACTGATTTGTAATTTATATACCTAATGATAATACTGATAAATAAATGGAAACTCACGTGGTGGGATGTTCAAGTATCCTGTGCGCGTGAGGATCATATGGTGGAGATCCATTGACATTGAGCGACACGTTTTCTTGTGGTACATTCACCGCGTATGATTTTGATTTTTTTTCCTTGCTAAAAATAAAAACATACATAGAAAGCTGTGATTAATTTTTAAGACTATTAATTAATGTATCTAAATTTAAATATATTTTTTTATTCATTCAATAGAGCTAATTATTTATAATTTTCCAAAAACGTACATAAAATTTTACATAAATAATATTAAAATTGAAAGGTTTACAAAAAAAATATAACACAAACTTAATAATGTCACTCAACATGATTTTATACTTTTTTTACTAGATATAATATTACTAAGGATTTTTTGTGATCAAAACAGAACACGCTAAAATATTAAACACTTTAAGGGGTATTCTTGGGAAAATACATCATATCATATCGTTTGTGTAGAATTCAGATAATTCTTTTTCGTTTCCAGTGCACAAGATGTGAAAAACATAAAATTATAAATTGAAAATATTAAATTAAATAAATATTCTATACGTATAAAAACGTGTTTAAACATACCTAAAATTCTATAACGATACGTTTTGGAAAAAATAATAAAATTAAATAAAGTTTTAGAAAATTCTAGATCAAAAATGTTTTAGATATGATGCGTTGTGACATGTTCATAGAAATGGTTTACCAGGGCCCCATGGTTTATCGCCACCGTCGGTTGTGTTCCTTTCTTTTATTTTCAAGTATAAAATCGTAGCAACGTACTATTATTATTTCATAGAACAAAACTAGTGCCCATAATTGTACGTATTTAATATACATATTTTTATTTCCATTCATAAAAATCCACTTAATAACGGAAGTAAAAGAATTGTGTAGTATAAAAATTGTAAAAAAACAATACAATATGCCACTCAACACCGACAACACCATTGCCAAAATGTATTAATGGTAAACAATAAAAATTTCAATTATTAAAAAATATAAGTGTTTTATTTGATTTAATGAAAACCCCAAAGTAAAATGTTTGGAAACTAATGTATGAAAAAAGAACAATTTCGATGCAGTAAAAATTGAAATATAAATAGCGCATTTTAAATTTACATAACTATTGAATAAATTGTATGTTTAATTTGTTATCCACGATTTGATAAAAAAAAAAATCGTTGCTTTGAAGTATGTACGTCTAAATAAATATTTTAATAATTAAAAATATTGGTAAAATATTTAAGGTGAAATTAAAATTAAATAAAAATAATAAAAGGTAAAAGCCACAGTAATAAAAGACAAAATTATGTTTTATAAAGTTTACCATTTTTTTTTTTTATCAATTATAAATAATTTCTGAACATTTGATCATAGTAAATTAGTAACTTTGCTACTTGCTAGTATCTTAATTACATATATAAATTCTTCGTAACCCAATTTACAATTATTTTTATCTAAGTTACTAACACTTTTTTTAGTCACCTATAGAATTTTTAATTTATTTCTGAAAAAAAACTGATAAAAATTATATATGATTCAATTACTATATAATTTATAATAATAATTATAATAAATTAACATAATAAATACAATTATTTTTATAAATAAATAAGCTTTTGTTCTCCATAAATGTGTTTTTCATAACTAAAACTTAGCTAATACTATTAAATAGAATATTTTCATTATTTTCAAAGATTATTGTAACCGTACAGTTTATATAGAATATTAACGTAGGTAATTTTAATATTTAATTTCTCATAAAAGAACAAATTTCACGATGTTTCGCTTTCAAGTAAATACTAACTAGTTACCAGGGTTCCATGGTCACAAGACTGACTTTCTACAGCGCGGATATTCTACACAACGCACTATATTTACAGTGATTCTTTAGTGTTTTATAGAATATATAAATATAAATATTTTTGAACAATATTTATTGTTTGTAGTCGGACATATCCTGAGCATATATTATACAAAACGCAATCTACTTATTAAAAATAAGTACAAGATAAAGTAAGAAATCAGGAACCCAAAAATGAACAAAAGCAAACTTACACAGCAAAATATGTAAATTGCACAATATCCAAGTAGTTATTATTATAGATTTGTGTTTTATTCTCATGTAGGAAATTAAATTAAGTTTATATTCCTATCAATAAATAAAACACTGTTGTAAAGTTAAAATTAATTATTCAAGATTAAATCTACTCAACTTTTATAGAGTTGAAGAATTGTTTTAAATTCTATGTAGTGATAAATGAATTGGTTTTATTGGTTTAACATTGGATTTTTAAATATATTAAATTTTTGTGTCATGGCCAAATAGAATAGTGAAAATGCTTTAATTGTTAACTTGGAGGGAAAGGGGGTGTCAAAATTATAAAATTAATAGTACTTTTGAAATTACACAAATATTTTATAATTTAATATGAAGACTTCTAAAAATAAAAATTTAGTTATATTAATAGACTATATAGACTAGCGTTATCGAAAAAACAAGTACCTATAAGTATATTTAATCATATTTAATTGAACTTGGAAATTATCTGATATTTAAAAACAATTAACATGTACTATCTATAACATTGAAATACATTTAAGACATACTTTATTGACATGACATCTAAAATAACTTTAATTACTGTCTACTTTAAAAAAATACTGTAAATCGAGGAATTGTTTGCTGTTTTTAAGAAATCTAAATTCGAGTACATTATTTACGAGAATGTGTGGGGAAAAATATCAATTCAGTCAAAAAAATAAATAAGAAACGTGAAACACTATTTAATTTTTCAATTATAATTATATTTCTTATGTAATTCACATTTATTTTATGATATTCAACTTAAATATTATCAGTTAACCATCATTTTAAAATTACTTTTTTATATACAAATCGCATTGTTAAATGTACACGTTTATTAATTTATTTCCACTGTGTACCCATTATTATATTGTAATTTCCATAAATATAAATAATTTTTTTTTTTAATTTTCAATGATTCTTTGTATTCTTTTAACAGATTTTCTTGTATATAAAATAAAATTACCTACTGGTTATATTCAATAAATAAATTTATAAAAAAAAACCTCAACTATTAGATAAAATACATCATCGTGGTTAAAATGCATCAGTATTGTTAAGAAAAAGATCCAGTTTTTTCATCAAAACAAATGTTTTGAATAATAGGGGACCAACATAGTAATTGGAAAATAAATCTACAGTATAAAAATGAAAGAACTAAATGTAACAGGTAAGTTAAATTTCATATTTTAATTAAATTTGTTTATTTATAACCTCGGATATAACCTAATTCAAATAAAGAAATAATATTAATTTATGACAATAATATGCTGTTAATTGTAATTAAATACGTATTTTGTTGTTTTTCATAATTGTTAGTTTAATTAATATTTTTGTTCATGGTTAAATCGCGAGTAACGGATTAAAAATAAACAGCATGATTGACACCTCACAATCTAGTAAAACAGGTGTATAAATACATAATAAACGGTCAGCGGAATGTGAGGACTGTACTCTTACATTATTATTTTGGCTAATAAATTAATTCGTCAACATAAAAAAAACATGCACACTTAAAATGTATATAACGCCGGACATAACCTTTTTAATTACAAAATCATGTTACAAACACATTAAAAAACCGTAGTATGATACACGGTATCATGTCATAATAATCATTGCCAATTATTAAAAATTACTATATTGTACAACAATTAATATACTTTTTCGGACAAACTAATATGCTAGCATTTGACGAAAATACTCGAATACGGTATCCGGTCATCCGTTTGAACATTCACAACTATTTTATAAGAAATAAACCAACATTATAATCTACAAAAGGTCGACCCCAAAATAAACAAATTACAAATAAGTAATAACACGGAAACCATAGCCATAATTTTATCATTAATCGAACGTACCCAATTAACGCAAATCGGACATTTAAATATCAATGAATATGAACAACAAACTACCTAGTACAAAGTTTAGTAATAATTAATAATAATAAAATATTTATGAAATTTAAAATTAAGCCACATAAAAATATGATAATATAAATTTGTTATTACAACATTCTATAGAAGGAAATATAATGATCGGACTCTTTTCTCAATAATCATAACAATATTAATAGATTCTGAAGTGTGGACACAAATTTATTATTAGTTACTAATGTACATCATATATTTATGTAAACGTAAACAAAATAAAAAATACTTTTGACCCAGTAGCACAATTTAACAATGATTGTCCAAAATCAAACCAACACTACATAATTGCATATAAACAATATTCTCAAATGAAAATTATTTTATTTTTTTATTTAAAGTTGAAATATATAATCTATAAGTAGACATAATAAGTATAATATAATATGATATATGAGACAGAAATAAAATTAACAAATTTTTTGGTAAAAATATAGCTACTTGACAGTCTTGACCTTACACCATTTTTCATTACAATATTTAATGTGAATCTTTTGTTTCTATAGTGCACGCATGAAATAACATAATATATACGCACGTCACAACGTCCGTGCATTGAATTGCTGCATAATAGTGGTTAAAATCTATTAGCAAGTATAATACAACGGCCAAATAGCGTTATACCTAACGATAGTAGGATCATGTAGGATCATTACAATTAGTTTATAAAGCAAATCCACCAACTACCAATACTGTTCCCCGTCATATTTCAGTTTTTGATCAAATATTTCAGAAAGAAATATTTTATTTACCAATACATTGTCCGATCTCAGACCTTTTAACATCGATAGAATTTATGTTTATATAACGGTTCATCCAATATCATTCTTTAAAAAACGAAATAGGTATGCCGTTGTAGTCGTTGTACGGAAAATTACATTTCTTCATGTCGGGCATAAAATATTCTAATGGTGGTTTGGTATGGGTTGTATATTTTTGTATGGGAATTCTGATATTATAATGCACGAGTGCATTTAGTGCCCAAACGCGTCTTTTAAAAACTGATCGACCCAGACGTACTTACTCCCACTTATCCATCACCCGTCTACGAGTACCAAAAGAATTTTACCCAAAACTGGTTTTACAGGTAGGTTAAAATGTTCCAGACCTTATTCTGTTTTTGTGTGCCCACATTTCAAAAAACACACATGGAAAATGTAAACAACATCTTTCATTTTGTATCGATTTTTCTACATCCAGCTGGGACGTAATGTGGAATCGTGTAAGACTAAACGAACAGAGCACAGTGAAAAAATACCTCTGAAAACGAATTCGACGATGACGATTTCCGATTGGCGTTAATACAAATGCGAGTAGTTTTGCAACATCCAACTCGCTGCTCGCACAAATACACTTCGTGATGCATGGCTTAAGTGCGCAGTTATAGACGACGGGTATAATAATAAAATAATACAATATCTAACCCCCTATGACCACACCCTCAATAAAACGGCGGTTGTTTAACGGACAAAAAACGCAAACCCGTTAATAGCAAGAAAATGGAAAATATTCATATCATAATATTATAAATATTATAGGTGTATATATATATATATATATACACAATTAAACATATTATATTATACTCACGTGTCGGACGGGGGTCCGATGCCGGTCAGCGAAATCGATTCAGACATGTCACTGTTGTAATGATTTGTAAGTACCTGCAAAAATAGACCAACACGACGCGATCGTTGATTAAACAAGTCTTCGGATGATGGAAACGGTATGAGAAATAAATAATAATATGAGAGATCAAAACACGTGCACTAAAATGACATTATGAAATGCCGCGTATAATATTAATGTGATTTTTAATCAACAATAATTATACCGTACAACAATATTAAAATATTAGGTTATCGTGTTTACGAGTCTCACCTTTGAAAATTTTGGCGGTAAAACAATTTTTATAAAAGATAATGAGAAAAAGAACTAACGTCGACAGTCGGACGTGCGCGCGCAACGGTTAGCCGAAATGTCAATAAGTGCACACCGACGGACCGCAACTACTGAACGCGTATGGTAGCTTCGTTGTAGTGCAGCGGCTCTCGTCCCGGTCTCGTGTCGAGCATGCGCCCCACTATCGGGCACCGGCGGCGGCAACGGTGGCGAACGACCGTGATCGATATATGTTATTATTATTTTTGTTGACGTTGTGCGATCGCGGGGTAACCCGACGGGAAAAAAGGGCGCACGACCTACGTTTTCCATTCATTTCGACCGACGATTCATGATAATAATAGACAATATCGCACATGTATAGTGTCTACGCATGCATTATCATTATTATCAATGATCGTAGTTGTCGATGTACCGAAAATTCACCAAATTTACGCATTTGTGAAACGGAGAAATGCACAGCAAAAATAATAATAACAATAGTACGTTGTAATCGTTGTATCATACACTATTTTATTTTATCCCGTCCGTTTCTCGGTCACGCGTTGACGACGAACTACTGGCAAATTTTTAACATCCTTATTGTCTATTGAGCACTCGTAATATATAAATAGCTTGCCCGTTTTTCTATAATTGGATTTATATATGATCTGAATCAGTGATATGGTATTTATGGGAAGAGGTGGTCACGAGGGTGAAGTGTTTCACCCGAGAAGATTTTTTTCGAAAGGGCAGCGGTATCATTTTTCTCGCACAGATAACGAACAGATTTAAATAAATCATATAATAACATGTTCTGCTAGATGTGTTAGTATGATAAGTCTCCAAATTAGTGTATCTGAGAACATCGAGTATACAGTACGAAATTTAAAATAAATACATTTCGAATTACCTAGTATATTGTTAAAAATAACATTTAATATTAGAATTATTATTAGACGAAAATATAAATGTTTAGTTTTACTAATTTATCACTTTATATATTACTAATATCTATATAATTTTTATTTTTATTTTATTCCTTGAAATTTTATCATTTTTAATTTCCCATTATATTTAAAAGATAATATGGATAATAATAATATATTATCTAATTAAATAAATACCAACGACCGGGTACGGCTGATAGGATTAATAATTTTGGTACAATGTTATTAACTCATATCAGTTTAAAATTTAAAATTGCTTTCATCTAAGTAATAATAATATTAAACTGTAAAAATTATAACTTGTGTGTGCTTACGCCTTATTGTTTTATATGCTGTGTTATATCAGAAAAGAAAAAGAATACCATAAAAATTTCTTTAAGAAAATTCCAAAAACTGACAATGGTACATAACATTTATGTTACTTAATCATTCAATTACAAAATAAAATCCTTAACTTGAACATTTGTTTAATTTTCATTATGAAACAATAATAAGCAGGTTTATCTTGTGTATATTAAATTTACTAGTTCCACGAATTTTACCTATTTATCTGTATTAAATAAGTATAATTAATACAAGTAGTTCGTGCCTAATATTATTTAACAATAACTAAAATCGCATTAAACACTCATTTTTAAAATAATGTTTTTATGTAAAACTTGAAAGTTTGAACCTGTTGAATTTACTGTTCAAATATTTTAAAAATTTATTTAACGATGTCAATTAATGCAGTGAACGCAGTTGTTTTGCTCTATGGAGATTAAAAACATATTTAAGTGTCAAGAAAGATAAAGTAGTTAGTACTGTATGTACACAAAGAATTATTATTCTATTGACTTTGAACAAATTAATGACAAATGTGATGTAGAGGTTTCAATTAGAAGTCGCGCTAAATATTACAATAGTTGAGAGTGGTAAACTGTAACAATTCATTTTTTTTTTTTTATTGTTATTGTTTAAAGAACGTAAAAAGTGATACTTGATAATTATGTTATTGAAATAAGGAGTTACAACTTATAAAATAGAATACAATGTTGATTAATATAATATATTATTTTTTTTTTGTCAAAATTAACTTCATTTAATTGTATTGGTGCATGCTGCGGTTTGTTAATTGGTTAAAAGACAAAGATAAAATACATGATAGATAATATAATATGAAATTTTTTATTTAATTAAAAGTATTGGTAGTAGTGATAAAATATTTATTAAAAATGTTAGGACAGTACGAGTAATGTAGTCTCACGTGAGTTTTATAAATCATGAGAATTTTCGTGCTAAAACAAGTGCTCCTTATCCGAATTGATCAGTAACATTTGCTAGTCCTAACTTTTCAAAAGCTAGTCATCCGTTCTTGCCGTTCAAGGTATGGTATCTAAAACTTTAAGGGATATTGTTTACAATGTGCTCAGATTAATCGGACTCCTCCTAAATCCCTCTCTATTTTAAAACGGTATTCTTCATTTCTGTTTGAAAATGTATAACAATTCGACGCTTACATTTCCTCTATAGAATTAATTATGATTTCTAGTACAGTATCACTGGCTCAACCGCAGACTTTTTACATAATATGCTTTTTCCACTCGTGCGCCAGGCGTACAATTATGATATATACACATGAAATAATTTGCACTGTGCGTCGTGAAGGTGGAATTCCAGACGTCTGTTATATAACATATAGATACTTATATATATAAAAAAAAAAAAAGAACACCAGACAATATCATCGTCGCGACGTTTGGAATGCTTATTAAGGGGCATAGACGTCAGACGATACAGCATTGTGTGGCATGGCGATGGTTTGGCGGTGTGGAGGTGGGTCACAAATTGTTGCTCACAATACTCTCAATCGTGTGATGTATTCATCATAATAATGTTTATAAAAGAGCGAGAAAAGATTAACACATGGAAACGTTCCATACTGTCCACGACAATAATATTAAAGCATATTGTATAATGCTACTCAGTATCCAGATGTTGACCGACCGTAAGTTAGTGTACCAACTTACCGTATGGAACATCTATAATTATTATTACAAAGATTCGTAGAACACGGCGAACACGCACATACGATCGTCAGAATCGTCGTGCCGTCGTTTTCGGACAATTTTTGAATAATATTTCAATATTATCTACCTGTCCGAACCTAAGTCATTAATCATTATGATGAATCTACAAGGTTACAACCTACGTATCGATAAATCCTAATGAAAACAAGTTAATTTATGGTTTACCGATGATTTTTATTATTTTTAACCATATTTAGATAGGGATTTCTGAGTATTGCATAGCATAACAATAGTTCAATCCGATACCCATTATTAATATTTTATTAGAAAAAACCCAATTATAGTTATCTTTTTCGATTAAAACATTAATTATTACTTATAAGATGTAAATATATACCATATCTAAAAAACAACGAGAAAGTTATATATTGGTATCTCATCTAAGTGTGAATATTTTTATAACATATATTTTGTATATTAATTTAATTTTATAAATAATATCGAAAGTACGATAGAATAAAACGTTCTTGATTAGGTACTTAAAAAATCGTGCGAAATTTTAAAGTGAATGGTAAAGGTGAAATGGTAAAACACGAAGACCGTATGCGAATGTATATTTAAACCAGAATCGTAATCGTAAAAATATGATTACTTAGTCATGCATCTGATCATTTTCAACACACATCAGCATAAATAATGAAATGCAAGCTTGTATGATCTGAGACAATTAATTTTTTATTATTATTAATATCATTTCAACATCGTTCAATTTACCTAATGAATTCAGTCGTAGTTCTTTTAATTACAGGCAATTGCATAAAACTTTTTTAATTCGTATCTCTTAAACTTGTTTTTCGCTTTAGAGCAACAGCAACGCCCTTAACGTTTTATACGTAACAATCAATACTATGGCACCTATACAATTTTAGAATTTATGTTATGAATTTTAATTATTTGAAGCAATGTTTTTTGGATTTGTTGGTTTCCCATTCGGAGTCGTAGTAGATTTTTGGCCCGACAACTTCTACAGTTTAATCAAAAACTGTAAATGTTAAAGACTATGTACCACTTATTGTGCGTGCCATGTTAATTACGGGAGTACGAATGTGTTGAAACTTGGAACTAAATATTTGGTGGTTCTAAATTTGAAAACGGAGATGGACCGTAACATTCTTAAAACGGTTTGAGATAATTTATTACGAGTGTGTCAGAATGAATCGCGTTTACTACAGTTGAAACACAATGACAAAATGTCGACTTAACATGATTTCTGAGATTTAAAAAAACAGTTAATCATTGAATACGACTATTACATGATAACCTTTGGACTTTGAGTCGTACCTTATAAATTATAAAAAAACTGTTATTTTTTCAAAATGTTTAATGACGTTTTGACAGTAATATAATGCCATAATTAATTCCTCGACTCAATGCTCACTTGATAGCCAGTTGGTTATATTATTTCATTGCAGTAACCACAAGATTAAAACCTATAAGGGGGATTATACGCATAATTTTAAATTTGCCTGAAATATAAAAATATTAAGTAATTAAATTTACCTAAAAATAATATTCTTGATTTCACTATATTTTTACATTGTATAAAAATGCACAGTAATCGACGTTAAAACAATATCTTTCCTATTTGTTTATCGACGTAACATTAATTATCGTTGTGTGTATACACGAAATTGAATTATTTTCAATTCATTGACAATGTAAACGTAACTGAATCATAAAATAGTTTTTTTAGAAAGCGAAAGCAAATGCAGCCCACAAATATAAGAATTATAATTATCGCAATTATTATCGTTTTCATTCTCTGAAATAGTCGAGTAAAAAGAAACATAATATATTAGCATAGGCATGTACTATTTTTGAAATGGTAGTAAAGTTGTATTTCGTTTAAAGAAAAACAACACAAACAACTGAGCTCTGGCGCAGTCTGGCCAGTCCGACCTATATTATATTATTATTGCAAAGCACAAACTCACTCGTCATATGCACGCGCACAGACACAATACGAAATCCGTCGTTCCAGTAAACGAGTAGAAAGACACGCCTACGCGTCATCGTCGCGCGACCAGCGTGTTTTAAATTAAACTTGTCTCGGTTGGTATGAAAATAATCACTCAATGTCTAACGTCGCAGGTAGGTATGTATATAATAAATTTGAAAATGAACGGCCAGATG